ATCCCTAACACCACAAAAATCAAACAGCAACAAAACCCACTCAAGGCCATCAAGGGATTCATACTTCTAATTTCAGTACTAGGGAGACCAAAACAGGGGGACCAGAAGTAGTTTTGAGGCCACCCTAGGTGTGATGGTCGGAATCAGAATGTCACCCTTAACAAAACCCACTCAAGGCATCAAGGGATTCATACTTCTAATTTCAGTACTAGGGAGACAAAATCAGGGGGACCAGAAGTAGTTTTGAGGCCACCCTAGGTGTGATGGTCGGAATCAGAATGTTGCCCGCAAGGTCAGATATTTGAATGCTTGGTTCCCAGTTGGGAGTCTGTTTAGGAAAGATTAGGAGGTGTGGCTTTGTTGGAGGAGGTGTGCAATGGGGGTGGGTTTTAGGTTTCAAAAGCCTACTGTCTCTCTTCCGGCCTCATGGTTGCTTATTAGGATATAAACTCCCAGCTACTGCTCCAGTGTGCCACATGTGTACCACCATGCTTGCTACAATGATGATCATGGACCAACCCTCTGAAACTGTAATGTTTCCTAAGTTACAGTGGTCATGTGTCTCTTTATAGCAATAGAACAGGAATTACACTGGGCTACATGGTGATATTGCCAGAGAAACAAAATAAAACCTTTATGGTTGATCCACACATACGACAATACTACTCTGGGTGTAGCTAAAATGGCTAAGCACTTGCCTAGCATCCACAGGATCCTAGGTTCAAGCCCCAGGGAAGGGAAAAGCACACAAAATGCCTCTTATTAAGTGTTACTCAAACCTCTTCATGTGAAGTTTCATATATTCAGTTTTAGGATGTCCTCTGAAAGTCAGGTGATGGTGGCACATGTCTTTAATCCCACCACTCAGAAGACAGAGGCAAGGAGATCTCTGTGAGTGCCAAGCCAGCCTTGCCTATATAATGAGTTTCAGGACAGCCAGGCCTACACAGTAACATCCTACCTCAAAAAATATCAAAAATACAAAAAGAGAAAGAAAAAAATCCCCTGAAAGCAACCCCCTAATTCCAACATACCAAAAGTCTATCTGTATGTCCCAGAAATGAAAGCTATTTTAGATAAGGTGGCTGAAGTACTCCCTTCCCACACATGAGATTGCACATGAGTTTTTAAATTCAAAACTGACAACAACGTGGTTTCCACTAGGAATCTACCTGCTTATAGTCTTCATTACTTTGGAGTTGACAGCCCTCAGGAGTGTGGAGCTGCACCGTTGTATTATTATTGACCACCTCTACACAGCATTCCTGATCAGGAAAGCTCAGGGGACGCACCCTACAGTACACCTGGAAAAAGAGCAAGGTGTTCAAACAAGGTTGACTTTTTGCCCGATTTTCTTTTTGGCTTTTCCGTTTGTCTCCTTTGTTGAGACACACAGGTTCTCAGTCTGTAGCCCAAACTGGGCTGGAGCTCTCAGCAGGCTGCCTGCTAGTCTCCAGGATGCTGGGACTGCAGGCATGCCCCTCTCTGAATGTTCAGCACTCACCTGACTTTCCATTTAAGTTCTGTTTATTCATCTACAAATACCTGATCTTCAACACAAACATAAATTTCAACCAAATCTACAGCTCACAATGGTCAAATGCAAAGATGCACTAAATCAAAATAAATTTAGGCTAGAGTATTAAACTGTACAGTAATCTCTTCACTGTTGTGCACATATAAAATTGTAACAACATAAAAAAAATCTCTCTAAATAGCTGAAAAAGCCATTCAATTCTTTAAAGTTGGATGTCATGACTCTGTGCCTGTAAAACCTCTACTCTACTGAACTGCTAAACTCTCATGCTCAAGTTCAAGAGGGGCCTATGCATAATCCCACTGTCCTTTCACAGTATTAATTCTGAATAGCCTCAGCATCTTTCAGTGATTCCATAAAACGCTCTCCAAATACAATATTGCTCTTTACTTTCATTTTATGTGCGTTGGTGTTTTGACTGCATGTATGGCATCTGTTTGATGGTGTTGGATCGCCTTGAACTGAAGCTACAGACAGATGTGAGCTGCCATGTAGGTGCTGGAATTTGAACCCAGGTTCTCTAGAAAAGCAGTCAGTGCTCTGAACTGCTGAGTCATCTCTCTAGTCCCACAATATTACTCTTAAAGAGAGAGAGAGAGAGAGAGAGAGAGAGAGAGAGAGAGAGAGAGAGAGAGAGAGAGA